GAAATGGATTATTAGTTCTTTAGTGAAATCCTAACAAACCAAGTAGATCTTTGAGTTATAAAGCTACATTCTCACCTAAAGACATCTTAAAACCTTGTTTAATTGCAAAGATCTTTGAATAAGTTAGTTTTTCTGAGTATAGGAGAGTTTTTCATCATTTAAGACAAAAAGATTATTCATCTTTAAAGCAAAGCAAGAAAAAAGAACTCCATGTTCAGGTGGAAAATGTCTAATTATCTTATCCTAAGGGCAGAGGTTCTCCTTCCATTGAAAGATCATCTTACTTAACTGCTTTATTTAAGGGCAAATAGCTTATTTTAGGACATTTTCACTTATCGTTTGATTAGTTTTTGGGGTCATATATCATTATCAATTCCAACTTTGTCCTTGTAGCCCACCATTGCTCACCAAACTTGACCAATCTGCTTTGGCCCACAATGAATCATGGGAAATGGGTGGACCGCGAAGGACGCTGTAGATGTTCGAATGTTAAAATAGAAGAACATGTTCATTTAAAAGGGTCTTTAAAACAGTATGGCGACATATTCTGTCTACAAACCCAAAATGAACTTTTAAGATGTTTTTAGACAAATTTTTGGCTTTGTTAAAATTAAAGACCCGCTTGGTTGGTCAAGATTTTATGAAAAACCAAAGATCTGATCACTTTTTTCCTGAGACATGAAAATGTACACACTGCAAAACTTAGATATGATCTAATTTAGTCAATCTTTCTAGAAATAAGTGTTTTTAAGAGAAAAAAAACTCCATATCAGGTTTATTTTATTTAATTATAATTTTTTAAGTGCATAAATCCTCATTTCATCTGCAACTCATGTTATTTAACTCCTTTAATTGAGGGAAAATACACCTATTAAAAAAAAAATTCACTTATTTTAGATCAGTTTTTGAATCGTAGAAAGTGTAATATATCATTTTTTATTTACTTTTCCCATCATAGCATGACATTGCTCTCCAAGTTTAACCAATCTGCTTTGACCTGCAATGAATCATGGGAAATGGGCGGCCACAAAGGATGCAGGACGCATCCTTCACATCATTGAAGAGAAGAAAACATTTATCGGCTGATTTTAAACTAGTCTTAATGGGAGGCAGGAATTGAGGGAAAAAAGAGAAAAGATTGGAAAAGTCTTCATTGTAAACCAAAAAGAAAATTTTAAGAAGTTTTTAGACAGAAATGTTCATTTTGGACTAAGAAAATAAATGGTTTGAGAGGGGCATGAAGGAAGCCATCTATGTTAAGAAAGAAAAATCAACCTTAAAAAGAGAGGCTGGACTCAGATTTCAGCTTTCAAAAACCTACAATGCAGCAATTGAGTTGATCCCCTCCCACTATTATCGCAACCCCCACCTTTACTTCTGTTCCCCCTTAACAGGGGAATAGAAGACCTTGTCTACAACAATCCCTCGCCACTCCAACAATTCCCTTTAACAACCCCCTTTCAGATACATAGACAGGTGTGGGACTAACAAAAGTCCAAAGGGTTGGACTTGTTTGTCCATTTCAAATTGCATGTTTTCAAATAAAAACATGATTTTGATGGGCTACTGGAAAAAAAACCTCGAACTCAACTCTATTCCTGACATTTTGAATTGAAAAATCTTCCTAGATGGGAAGCGAAACATCTTCAAACTTGGAAACAAAGTCCAGTGGATTGTTTTTAATATTTTTGGAATGACAGAAATGTAGCTGCATTAAATCCAAACATCACCTCGGTTGGTCGAGATCTCACTCAAAGCCAACAACCTGAGAGCTAATATCTGTTTTCCTAGGACCTGAGGAAAGAGGTTCAACGTAAACTAGTCTAGATGACTAGTTGACATTTG